AAAAGTGGTGTTTTATTATAACATGTGATTCTTTTTTTTTTTTTTTTGAGACCGAGTCTTACTCTGTTGCCCGGGCTAGACTGCCCTGGCATCAGCCTAGCTCACAGCATCCTCAAAAGATCCTCCTGCCTCAGCCTCCCAAGTAGCTGGGACTACAGGCATGTGCCACCACGCCTGGCTAATTTTTTCTATATATTTTTAGTTGACCGGCTAATTTCTTTCTATTTTTAGTAGAGACGGGGTCTCGCTCTTGCTCAGGCTGGTTTCGAACTCCTGACCTTGAGTGATCCTCCCTCCTCAGCCTCCTAGAGAGCTAGGATGACAGGTGTGAGCCACCCGCGCCCGGCCAACATGTGATTCTTTTATCCGTGAGTTTGGGTATCTTTTCTTAATGATTTCTATTTCCTGCGAATTTCCTGCTTACTACGTTCTTTGCCTATTTTTAAGTAACAATTATTAAAAAATAATTGTTAAATGCTTGTCATGTACCAGACATCTCATTTAACCTTCACAACAACCCTATAAAGTAGATATTATTATCCTTGTTTTAGAGATGAGGGAAGTGAAAAATAAAATAAAAAAGAGCTTCCCAAAGGAGATGCGTAATGGATCTTGAAGATTGAATAGGAGTTTGCCAGGCAGTAGAAGAAATGAGCTTTTTTGGCAGAGGAAATGGCATGTAAAAAAAGGTAAAGAGGCTGGGCGCGGTGGCTCACGCCTGTAATCCTAGCACTCTGGGAGGCCGAGGCGGGCAGATTGCTCAAGGTCGGGAGTTCGAAACCAGCCTGAGCGAGACCCCGTCTCTACTAAAAATAGAAAGAAATTAATTGACCAACTAAAAATATATATACAAAAAATTAGCCGGGCATGGTGGCGCATGCCTGTAGTCCGAGCTACTCGGGAGGCTGAGGCAGGAGGATCGCTGGAGCCCAGGAGTTTGAGGTTGCTGTGAGCTAGGCTGACGCCACGGCACTCACTCTAGCCTGGACAACAAAGTGAGACTCTGTCTAAAAAAAAAAAAAAAAGTAAAGAATGAAAAGAGCAAATATTTCTAACAGCTGGTGCTATGGGCTGAATTGTGTCCCTCCTCATATGTTGAAGTCCTCAGCCCCAGGACCTCAGAATATAACTGTATTTGGAGACAGGGCCTTTTAAGAGGTGATTAAGTCCAAATAAGGCCAGTACAGTGAGCCTAATACAACTTGCCTCATAAGAAGAGGAAAAGTGGACATGCAAGAGACAGGTGCATGCAGGGAAGATCACGTGAGGAGGAAGCAAAAAGATAACCATCTGCAAGCCAAACAGAGAGGCCTCAGGAGAAAACAGAACTGCTGACATTTTGATCTTGGATTTCCAGCATCCAGAACTGTGAGAAATACATGTTTGCTGTTTAAACCCCCCAATCTCTGCTATTTTGTTATGGCAGCTCTAACAGACTAATACCACCAGAATCAGGATGTCTTGGTGTTTGCGGTTCCTTCTTAGTACTCACATAACATAGAGAGCTTATCGTCAGCGCACTGAGCCATTATTTTATCATGATCCATTTATGTCAGAGCCTCTTCCATCAGAGAAAGCAGGTACCAACGAGTTCTAAATTTTTATATCTCCAGCAACTTATACGGTGCCTGACTCATAAAAAGCAACAAAAAAGACTTTTTGACTTTTGTTGTTTTATTTTATTGCACAAACACTATATGTGCATCCAATCAAAAAATATGTACACTGATCACTTTAATGACTACATTTAAACGACCTTTTATTTCTATGTAATGACTATTTACTCCTGTGATGGTACAATGTGTACATTTATTATTTAGAATAATTTTATCAAGTTCCTAAGAAAACCCACAAGGTACTTTAAAAAGAGACTTCATTCAATGTATGGATTAATTTTGAGAGAATCAACTTGTTAACATAGTGAATTTTTTTTTATCACATGACAAAGAATGTCTGCTCATTTACTAATGGGTTTTAAAAATTTACTTTGTAAGTCTTTGTAATTTTCATTGAATAAGTAATTTGTAATTTTCATTGAATACATTTCTTAATGTACTCTATGTATTTAAATTTTTCATTTACAAATAAGATCTGTTTTTTATTATATTGTCTAACTAGTTATTACTGGTCTAGAGGAAAGCTATTAATTTATATTTTTATTTTGTAGACTATCATCTTACTGAACTTCTTAGTTTTAACAGTTTTTAAATTGATGCATTTAGGTTTCCTGGGTAAACAATCATATTATCCACAGGTAATGATAATTTTCTCTCTTCAAATATATCTTACTTCTTTTTCTTGTTTTATTGTGTTGGGTAGAAGTTATAGAACAATGCTAATAAATATTATATCAAGCACTCCTTGTCTTGTTTCAGCCTTTAGAATTTCCCCTATTTTTGCCCATTGATTTCAGATAAATTTTCCTTTATCGTGTTAAGGAAGTTTCCTTTTATTATTAATTTTCTATTTTATCAAGAATATATTGTTGGATTTAATCAATCACCTTTTCATCAGCTAATGCTATAAAAATTGTTAAAGCTCAAGTTGATTTCTACTTTAGAATGGTAACATTTGAGAGCCATTAGGTATAATTATACGCGATTGTCCCAAATTGTTGACTATCTATATTAGCATAGTTCAAGATCTTGGCATAATGGTTGTCTGCTGATGTGAAGGTAAGTTATATTTCTTCTTTAAGGAGGTGTAGGAAAGGACCAGCTGTGGAAAATTCAGTTAATGCTGTAGCCAAAACTTAAAATACAGCTGCCCAGACCAGGCGTGATGGCTCACACCTGTAATCCTAGCACTCCAGGAAGCTGAGGTGGGAGGATCCCTTGAGGTCAGGAGTTCAAGACCAGCCTAAGCAAGAGTGAGCTGCTATTTTTACTAAAAATAGAAAAAGTTAGCCAGGTGTCGTGGTGCACACTCTAGCTCCCAGGACAAAGTGAAACTCTGTCTCAAGCAAACAAAAAAAATATGGCTGCCCAATTGTCACTTATTATCAACCAAAGTAAATGGCGGTAGCATTATGTGGATTTCTCCTTTGACCTATTGATGGGTATACAGTAGGGAACAAAGGAAAGTGTCTGGCTAGGACAGTGCCTGGCATTATAGTGAATACTAAATAAATATTTGTTGAACAGATTAATAAATAAATATTTAAGGTACAGTGGCTCTTTTAGGAGGTAGTTCTTGGACACTTTCTTTCAATTTTGTCCATAATTTTTAGTCAATTTAATTTTTGATTCTTAGTTTAAATGTAGACGTTTGTTTTTCTAGGAAACAATTTATTCTACCCAGACTTTTTAGTATTTAGTACATTTTAATTTCACAACTTTAAAAATTACATCCATGAAAAAGAGAACAATCTGCAATAGCCATTTTGCTGTTATCTTTAATTAAGTAGGTTTCTTTTCTTTTCCTTTTTTTTTCATTTCTAAGGAATAGAGTTCTTAATTTACACTTTTCTTATTAATTTTTAACTGTATTTATGGATAGAATGTGGCCTCTTTACTTTTTTGCTTACTGAAATTACTTTTGTGAACAATTTATAAATGTTTCCAGAGTAGAAAATAGAGGATGTATTCAGTATGGAACATAAAGTACAATAGTTAAATATTAGACCTTTTAATTATATTTACATACGATGCTTCACTCCCCACCCTTTTTTATTTGCTGGCTTGATCTAAAAATGACATGAGTGATCAGTGTTTATAAACGTTAGCTGAGTGAAAGAATCAATGTAATAAAACAAATTGACTAAAGGATATATAAGCAAAAAGATCAAAATGTAAAAAGCCAATTATAAGATATACCTTTATCAATAGGAACATTTTAAAAGCTTTGTTTAATAGTGTCTACCTAACTTTCTAATCTAGAATGAAATCACTAATATTTAAAAATATACAATCTCGGTACAATAAAAATGATAGATGCAGTACTAGTTTTTAAATGTATAAAAATAAAACATGATAGCAGTTGATAACAGTTTTTCTAATTGAAATATACATGTTTATCACGGAGAGTTAAAAGAAGACAAAGTGATTTAAATCCTAGCTCCTTCATATAATAGTAATGTGTTAACTTGGGTGAGCCACTTAATCTCTTTAGACCACTCACTCATCTCTGAAAGGGGGCGTGCAGGTTGTTATAATGCTTATAAAGTACCTCATACTTAAGTTCCCAATAAGTTGAAACTCATATTTTAAGTTATTTATTTTATTTTATTTATTTATTTATTTTTGAGACAGAGTCTCACTCTGCTGCCCAGGCTAGAGTGAGTGCCGTGGCATCAGCCTAGTTCACAGCAACCTCAAACTCCTGGGCTCAGGGATCCTCCTGGCTCAGGCTCCCCGAGTAGCTGGGACAACAGGTATTGCCACCATGCCGGCTAATTTTTTATATATTTTAGTTGTCTGCCTAATTTCTTTCTATTTTTAGTAGAGACGGGGGTCTCTCTCTCTCTTGCTCAGGCCGGTTTCGAACTCCTGACCTTGAGCGATCCACCCCGCTCACGCCCCAGAGTGCTAGGATTACAGGCGTGAGCCTGGCCACGCCTGGCCTCATATTTTTAGGAGTGAATGCTTGAAGATTTATATGAATTCAACAATTGTTTATCTCCAAATATTTTAGAGAGAAATAAAAATCAGCGTATAATACTTCCTTTGGTGAAAAACACATCTACCAAAGTTATTGTTTTTGGCATCCAAAAATGAAATGAAAATTTGCAAAAAGCATACCTACATTTGCTATGTTGTAATACTCAGATTAGCAGAATCATATCAGCAGGCCTTTATTTATTGTTACTTTTAACTAAAATTCTATTTTAGTAGAATATTTACTTATCTGTCAAAAATACAGAGAAGTTAATAAAAAATAAAATCATCCAATGTATCTAGAAAGCATGTGACATGAAAAACAAAGCAAAAGCTGGTATTTCAATGAATCAAAACAGACCTGCTAAGCATATGTGAAAAATATAATTACCACTGGGTTCTTACCTTTGGTTGTTTAAGTAATATATCTATGTCTTCTAGAACTGGAAGTCAGTAGAGTATCCAAAACAAACGGGGATATACTGTGGATCTTGACATTGTCAAAATCCAGGCCCTGATTTTTTTTAAAAAACAAAATGTGTTGATTTTTTTCCTTTCCTTAAACATGCACAAATGGCAAGTTTTCTTGATCATTCCCAGGGAAAGAAACAGTTCTGTGGCGTTGACAAAGGAGGATTTCCATGACTCAGCGGTGGATTTGCGGATTTATCTATGGATGAAAATAACAACAACCAAATCACCATCATCCTTCCCTGACCCTGAGCTTATTAATATGTATGAGAGTTAGGAATATAAGGAGGCTTGTCAAAGCAACGCCTCTTAACAAATTTGAAAGTGAACCAAAGGTAGTATTGACTTGATGAATTTTATTGAAATTTTACTGTCAATTTCATTCAGGGTTACAATCTTGAAAAAATTGTCTGGGCTTTTACAAAGTATGATTAAATTTTCAGATACAGTGGCATCATATTAAAAATTACCAAAATGTAATTAGGGTGCACTTATTCATTGATCTTTTAATTGGATATTTTGTGGAAGAATTGCATATTGGAAACATATCTGTTTGAGAAATAAGATGAAGCTGAGCTTGCCTAAAAGAATAATTCATATTTTAGATGTGTAAAAATCATCACAACATGCCAGTTTGTGTCTAAATGTTACTCTAACAACCTAAAAGTAAATTTCCCTAAGAAATTGTTTAGTGGCTGGGTGCAGTGGCTCACGATTGTAATCCTAGCACTCTGGGAGGCCCAGGCGGGAGGATCGCTCAAGGTCAGGAGTTCGAGACCAGCCTGAGAAAGAGCGAGACCCCATCTCTACTAAAATAGGAAGAAAATTAACTGGCCAACTAAAAATATATAGAAAAAATTAGCCGGGCATGGTGACGCATGCCTGTACTTGGGAAGCTGAGGCAGGAGGATCGTTTGAGCCCAGGAGTTTTGAGGTTGCTGTGAGCTAGGCTGACGCCACACCACTCTAGCCAGGGCAACAGAGTGAGACTCTGTCTCAAAAAAAAAAAAAAAATTTTTATGCAACATTTGACAGTCTACATACTCACAAAACTTTTGCTTATGGCTGAAAATCAGAATGGCATGAAATAAATACCATTTCTATTTAGCAAATCTGCCTTATCTGCCTTTATCTCAAATCTATCAACTCCATAAATATATTATTCTTTCTCCAGTACTTGCAGTAATTTTTCTGATGAATAATTAAGCCATCAAACAATTCAGTAATACATATTGCCTCAGTTAAATAGCTTCGGCTCCCAGTGGGGTTACGTGGCTCTCAAAAGAGGAGAGACCCCAAGATATCTGGGCAAAGAAAATTAGGGGAGTACTGAGTATCTTAGGAAAATTAGCTTTTGGGTTCCAGAATTTTAAAAATAATTTTTTATTTCTAATTATAAAATAAGGAATGCTTTATAAAATTTTGATATTACAGTAAAAAAGAATAAAACTGAAATATATTGTTATCATTTTCGAATAACCAATATTCACTATTCACATTTTGGTTATATCTACCATTATATATTTTTAAGATAAAATCATTTTGATTTTTATTTAAAATTATATTGTGATAATTTTTATATTACTAAATATCTATCTAAAGCATCCTTTTTTGGATTGTATAACATTCTATCATATTCCATCATATCATAATTTATTTATTGACTTTCCTATCATTGGACATTTTTTCCTCTGGTCTAAAGAATTTCAAAATGAATGTTCTTATTCTTAAGTTATTATATATTTCTGTCATTATTTAGTGTTTACTAAGAAATTAGATTACTAAATTAAAGTGTATTAACATTTTTAAGACTCCAAATTCATATCGTTAATATAACTTGAAGAAAATCTGTTTTCACCTCTTTTTAACTCTGTAAAGTCAAATAACTCATTGTCATTTGTGTTTCATTGCCTTCTTTCAACTCACTGATCAATCCACATTTTACCAAATATACCATTTTTATGTAATTTTTTGCAATCTTTTTTTTCTATTTTTATTTTTTTTAAACTATTAATCTTTTAATTTTATTCTACATTTTTTTTCTTCTTCTCAATTAACCCTATACGGTGAGTCTGAATTTTTTGCAATCTTGCACTCACACACATACCCTCTAAGCTGCCAATATGTATATTTTGGATAAATCCATTTCAATTATAAACTTTCGCAAATTAACCAATGCGGCCACTTGTGTCACCATTTAGCTTTCTGCTAAAATGTTATTGTGTCAGTCCTTTATATGCTGCTCCTCCCTAAGAAAAGCTACATAATCTGCTTAGGAAAATAAGCCCCTTGCCTTGAATACCATGGCAGTATCTTAAACCTATCTGTATGAAATTAACTGTAAACATTTTGAAAAGCATGAAATGGCAATAAATGCTAAAATCACAGGTATAAAGTAAAAACAAGTCATCAAGAGACACACAAAGGAATTCTCAAGAGGGGAAGGAACCTCACTTTTCTCAAATCCTAAAACAATCCTGTGAAGTGGATATAGTAGCTACCTCATTTTAGGGAGGAGAAAATGAGGGCTGGGAGATTGAGAAATTTCCCCCGGGGGGTCATACCTGCGAAAGTTGTGTCAGAGTTAGCTGGGATTCACGCCCAGACTGGGTTGGCTGGTTTGGCAAATGAAACTAGAGTATAAGTATGTCTCAAATATTGCATGAGATGAACTTCTCCTAAAAATTGTGTTGTATCTGAAATTCAAATTTAACTGGGTGTTCTGTTTTTTTTTTATCTGACTCTCCTACACGTGGGCCCATCTGATTCCAGAGCACCACATTGCTTTTATCAACTGGAAAGTAAAAACATGAAAAATAGGTCAAGTCACCTATTTCAGCAAATATGTCTCTAACAGTGACCACAAAGAATACTTGCCTGGGAAAACATTGTTGTTTTTCACCAACTGTGAAAGTCAGTTTCCTAATCTTTAAGTTAGATGTCCCTGTAAACTTACCTTAGCACATTATCTGCACAGAAATGCAAAAAACAATAGTGGCCATTATTACTTTTTATAATATCATTGTCTCTCATGTCTAAGAAATTTCCTCCTTGAAATATTTTTAATGTTTTATATATTATGTAAACATTATATAAATATCATATAATTTATATATATTATTTAAATATTTTATAAAATATTATATTTATAAATATTATATTTATATATGAATATAAATATTATATTTATAAAATATTTAAACATTAAATAGTTTAATGTTTATTTATGTCTTAATCACCCAATTCGGATCTATTATTCAGGAAAATATTCAGACCTCTGTGGGCCTCCTTAATATTTTCAACTTGATATCGCTTCTTGGGTTGAGTTAGTGTTTTCAGAAAATGCTTACCTGCTGTCAAACGTGGAAGACTCTTTTGTTCTGAGATCCAGTGTTCACTTTACCTCAGTTTCTCTTATGTCAAATGTTGCTACCCATTTGAGGGAGTTTTCTGTGATCCCGAGCTGGGCTTAAACACACAGGTTTTGGAGTCACAGGCTTGCGTTTGAATCTCAGCTTCACTGTTCACTCGCTCTGGGATTTGGAGCACAATAATGAATCTTCTGGGCCCCAGTTTCATTTTCCATAGAATGGGCATAATAATATCTGCAGGTTTGTTGTGGGAATTAAAATGAGATACAGTAATATGAAGAATTTATTGCAGCTCCTAATGTTTTATAAATACTTGACAAGTGGCCACTATAATTTTTAAAACACAAATATCAAAATTAAATTTCATTTTGTAATAATTAATTGCATTATCATAAATCTGCCTGGCTTCTTTTTAAAAGTCGAAAATATATTTTCTGGTTAGGAAATATACTGGGGTTAGTTAGAGTAACCTTTTTTATATGCAGCCAATGTAACTAAAATAAATATAGCTGAAAATAAAGCAAGATGACAAGAGTGGAGACTTGCACCCGTTTGCAGCCATAAAATATTCATTTTTCATGGTTTGCTTGTTATTTGAAACTTTCCTAAATGATTTTAATAAATTAAATAAAAGTCAGAGTAATGATTCTAGTAATCCCTTCTTCCTCTGATCAACTAAACTCCTGGTTGACATCATGAAACTTCATAGAACTTGTCAAAAATAAAACAGCTCTTCCACGATGAATCGTGCACACACAATCACACAATTCTTTACATATCGGAAATGACTCATTAGCTGTATCTCAAATGTTCATTCCTTTACTATTTCTCACACTTCCTTCTTGTATCTTCCAACCCCCTGCAAAACTATAATTAAGGATGAACTGAATATTACTGATTCTTGAGATCATGTGTATTAGTTGAGTGGTCTTGAGAAAATTATTATTATTTTTTTTTTTGTTATGGCAAAGACTGGAGAACAATTGAGAAAATTATTTAACCTTTCTGAGCCTCAATCTCCTTATCTGTAAAATGGAAACATAACACCTACCTCATTAGGTTTTTAGGAGGATAAATGGATTTAGCATATCACATACTGTTGGTTTATAAAGAAGACACTTAATAAATGCGTCATGTCTCCCTTTTCTTCCCTCTAAGCTTTGGGGCTGCAGCTAAACTGGAGCTTTGCTGCTGTGATGGGACTTTTTTTTTTTTTTTTTTTTTAAACTGCTAGGTTCAAGTGAAGTAATGGGACTTTTAATAACCAGGTGCATGTGCCTATTAAGTAACTAACTTGTGCAAAGACACAGAGCCATTATTTATACCTTAACTCTAACTAATGTTATTATATAATTCTAGCAAAATGTGATCAAGTGAAATGATTCACTTCAAGTTTTTTAAATGAAATTTTTTTTTTTAAAATTTTGGGTTCTTTACCATTGCAAAATAATAATCCTTCGTAGAGGCATGAAATGCATTTAAGTGTTTGTGCGTTTGTTCCACACAATTCCTGATCATCCACAGTATGCTGGGCACTCTTTTAAGGGACCCAGAAGTCATTTCCCCAGAGATGAGACAGAGGTGGGAGACAGGCAGGAGGAGATGAATATAATACAGTGTGATAAACAACTGGGAGAGCATATAGAAGGAATCCTGAGATTTGGGGAGGAAAGGCACTGGACTGGAAGACTTTGAGGAAAAAATTATCTTTTAGCTGAAATTAAGGTAAGTAGGTCTTTTGTCTGCATATATAAAACACACACACTAGGATATTTGTCTGATGTATGCAAGTTTAAAAGAGTGTTGTGTTTTCCCCTCCAAATTGCGATCAGCTTCACCCAGGCTACCTATCACTGGCTTTCTTTCCCTGGTACCTGCAGTAACCTTGGCCGATGGAAAGAACATAGCCATATTGGATTATCTATTTAGCAGGCTACTTTTAATCTGGCTCCCTGTCTTGCTTTGTCAGCTCCCTCTAAATCTCTGTAATCCTATTTAAACTTCCTCTAACCATAGATGCTCATTCACATGACATTGATTCTTCGTGCTTTTTATTTCAAAAATTATATGATTTGAAGAATCCTGGCTCTTGGCCCTCAGTTATTAAATATTTGATAGTCTTATCTTCTAACACACCAACACTTTCAGCCAGAGTACTCAACCATGTCTCCTCCGTGTTTATAACCATAATAATTGAATGTTATGTAATTCATGTTTAATGTCTATTTTCTCTGTAGGACCTATAAACTTCATGAGGTCAGGGACTGTCTATGTTGTCCATTAATGTGTCTCTAGTGCACTGCCCGATGCCATGCATAGTCATTCATTCGACAAATATTTATTAAGTCACAAGCTCTCTTCTAAGAGTTGGGGAGTCGATAGTTAACTAAGTTTCTGCCCTGGTAGGGCACACATTCTAATGGAGTGGGAAAGACAATAAATAAAGTAATAAACATATAAGAAGTCAGGTGGCAAATACTGATATGATAAAGAAAAAAGCAAAGTAAAAAGATAGAAAATTTATTTGGAGTGGGGCAGGACTATTTTAAGTGGAGTATTCAGGAAAGACTTCATTTAGCAGAGCTCTTAATACAGCGGCAGAGGTAGCCAAGCCCACTTCTAGGGGAAGAGCCTGCCCACCAAGAAAACAGCATACCAAAGACGGGACTATGTTTAAAGAAAAGCAGGGAAAACAGTTTAGCAAAGTTAGAGGGAGCAAAGAGGAAGAGGGAGTTAAGGAGTTAAGGTCATAGAAGACGGATCAGATAGAGGACTGTTAGGAGGGTATTGCAGTAATTCAGTGAGAGGTAACCGTGGTTCAGACCAGGATGGTAGAAATGGAGTCGGTGAGAACGGGTCGGATTCTGGTTCTGGTTCTAACGACTGGATGTGGAGTATGAGAGAAAGGGTGGGGTCAAGGATGACTCTAGATTTTCTAACTTAAAGCAACTAAAGAAGAGGTTGCAATTTGATGAGATGAGAAGGACGCAGTAAGAGCAGGTTTGGGGTAGTGAGAGATTTGGAGTTCTGTTTGGAAAATAAAGAGTTGTGCATGTCAGTTCCTCAGTCATATTTATTAGAATGAATGAACAAATGAAAAGACTTTTGGGTTTTTTTGTGCTCAGGATGCAACCAAGAGGAAATAAAGGCTGTATGAGTAGCAGCTCTGGGAATAGCAACATTACTAAAGAGACAAACAGAACAGCCCTTCACAGCCATCTGAGTGCAAAAGTTCTCATACAGATTTCATTGGCAGAGTTTGGGGGTCTGGGACTCAATGATATTATAGCATGATTTGGTATATACATAAAAATGTTTTTCCTGAGATAATCTGTGATTTCTATCAAATTGACTCTCCAAAACAGTTCATGCAAATAAATATATGTATTCATTCAATAACAGAAATCCTTCTGGAATATCCGAAAAATCCCCAAATATTTGTTAATCAAGCGGTGCATTCCTAAGTAATCCATAGGTCAAAGAAGAAATCACAAGGAAAATATTTTGAACTAAAGGGAGACAAATATTAGCTTTGAATGCTTGTATTCAAAGACAATAAAGGCTTAAAATCACCTTGGAGTTTTTGCCTTAGACTTTAGAAAAGGAACAGCAAATTAAACTCAAAAGTAGAAGGAAGGAAGGAAGTAATAAAATAAGAACAGAAATCGATGAAATTTTAAAAATCAATAAAGGTAAGAGTTGGTTCTTAGAAAGATTAATAAAATTGATAACTTCCTAATTAGACTGGTTGAGAAAAAAATAAAGAATCACAAATTACCAATGGTAGGTTAGGCACAGTGCTAGACCAGACTGTAACATTTCTGCAAATAGCCTCATGTCCCTTCGCAATGGCCAACCCTCCTGCCTGGTCATCTCCTCCCCGCCCCAAGAACTTCAGATCTCCCCAAGTAGCAACTGAAGGGTTAAGTCTTCACACAGCAGGGAACTTCCCAGACCTGCCCAGGCTCAAAAGCCTGGTGGCCTTGTACCTGGAGACCCTGAGACCCTACCAATTGTTAATTATTTTGACCCTTACCTCTGAGTCTACTTGACCTAACACAAAGATAAATAAGAGTTGACATTTTAGAGGGTCTCATTATCATTACTTTCTACGTTTTGAGTCAGAAAAGGAATTTTCCCAGAATCACAGAATGGGCTAGTTGGAGATTTTTGTTTATGGTCTTCTTTTAGTTAAATAAGCAACATGCTTTTCATTGGGAATAAAAATCTCCCAAATTTATGTCACTTTCATGACGGTCTTTAATGCTATAATTGCATACTATCTGGTCATCTAGAAATAGGCAGTGAAGGAAAATACATGATAAATTTCTGCTAGGCAACACTTAAACTGGGAAAACAGTGACCTTAAACACTTTAACCAAACTTGTTTAATTAAAACATTTTTTTCCGGCCAGGCGGGGTGGCTCACTCCTGTAATCCTAGCACTCTGGGAGGCTGGAGGTGGGCGGATCCTTTGAGCTCAGGAGTTTGAGACCAGCCTGAGCAAGAACAAGAACTTGTCTCTACTAAAAATAGAAAGAAATTAGCTGGACAACTAAAACTATATAGAGAAAAAATTAGCCGGGCATGGTGGCGCATGCCTGTAGTCCCAGCTACTGGGGAGGCTGAGGCAGGAGGATCGCTTGAGCCCAGGAATTTGAGGTTACTGAGAGCTAGGCTGACGCCACAGCACTCTAACAGGGGAAACAGAGTGAGACTCTGTCTCAAAAAAATAATAACAATAAAATTAAAACATTTTTTTCTAAGGATTTTCTGTTTATTTTCAGAACTGAAAAACAAAAATTACAACAAAGTGTCTCCTCCCTAAAATAGGCCTTAATATGAAACTGGAATTCAGGCTTTTAAAAACATTAATCTCAAAGTTACATTTTTATAGTTTTTTTGTTTTTTAATGTCCAGTTACCAAATGGGTTAAGAACAAACACTGAAGCGAGACTTTTTTGGTTACCATCTCAGTTCCCCACTTACTAGCTTTGTGTCCACAGGTAAGTTAATTAATTTCTGTGTGCCTTCCTTACTTGGGTGTAAAGTGAGGATAATAGAATCTACCTTACAGGATTTTCATGAAGATTTAGAAAGCATATATATATATAAAGTGCTTATAATAGTGCTCGCCACATAGGGAATGCTGTATGTGTCTGTTAAATAAATAATAAATACCTTAGATCACGTTCACCATCGTCAACCAATCTATGGCGAAGGCAAAATTTCAAATTTAGCGTCCAAGGGAAAACACTTAAAAAGAAATTTAAGTTTCAAGGATTTGTTACCCAAATTTGGCAGAAACTTCCCTCCCTTTCAACTTCCACCTATTTCCCTACCCAGGCCATTCCTTCTGGGCAAAGCCATCGGCCTGTAAAAGTGTGTGTGTAAAAAGATTGTTGTGTTGACTCATTTGTTCTTAACTCTGCTTTCATCAGCCTAGGAACAAGAAAAGCAAGATCGAGGCCTCCACCATGAAACTCTTAGGTAATAAAATTAATAGCACTGTTCATGACTGCGTAGAGCAAAGGCTAGGGGAAGGGAGGAATTTTCCTTCAGTGCTTCAGTGCCAGGGCACAAAGGCACCCCCATTCTCCCTGGTGAGGGTCTGAGCAGGGATTGTGCCCCATGCCTGGTATCCAGCCTTCCGACCTTGGTTAGCTTGCTCAGCCTCACTCTCTGCCTCTGTAAACTGGGGGTTAATGCACTTTGCTGCTTTAATGAGTTGTTAAAACATAAAGTAGGCCGGGGGGAGGTGGCTCAGGCCTTTAACCCTAGCACTCTGGGAGGCCGAGGCAGGAAGATTGCTGGAGGTCAGGAGTTCGAGACCAGCCTGAGCAAGAGCGAGACCCGTCTCTATTAAAAAAAAGAAAGAAAGAAAAGAAAAATGAGCCGGGCATGGTGGCGCATGCTGACGCCAGGGCACTCACTCTAGTCCAGGCAACAGAGTGAGACTCTTGTCTCAAAAAACAAAACACAACCCCACATAAAGTACCTGCTGGCCATTGCTATTCTGTGGGATTGGATCTTTTCAGTCTTGGCATTGCTTTTCCCTTAAGGGTTTATTTATTTTTTATAATTTTATTTATTTATTTATTTATTTACGGTTATTTTCCCCCAGTTCCAGAATGCATAAGGGCTTATTTTATTTATTTTTTTCTTTTTACATTATCTTCTCTTCGTTTTTTTTCTTTTTTTTTTTTTTCTTCCTCAAGGACTAGCAGAAGTGTGAAGTAAGGGCTTATTTTATTTATTTATTATTTTTCGTTTTAGATTATCTTCTTTTTTTTTTCTTCCTCAGGCCTAGCAGAAGCGTGCAGTCGGGGCTTATTCGAAGCAGCCGTGGCCCGCACGCGGGGCGCGGCGGCGGGTGGGGCGGCGCGGGGCGCGGGCCGGCGGAGGCCGGGACGGCGCGGAGGGCAGAGTCCGCCCTCAGCCCCAGGACGGGCTTCCGCGCGGCGACAAGCGCGGAACCGGCTCCGTGCTCAGCGCGCCGCGCACACCCGCAGGGCCCGAGCCCGCGCGGGACCCTCCGAGAGACGCCGCCGGCCGCCCGCGCGGAGCGGCGTTCCTCAGGGAGATCAAGGCACCTGGCCCGGGCGGCGCCGCGGCCGGAGAGGCGCGCCCTGGCCCGCCCCGCGCGCCTCAGCCAATGGGAGGCCGGGCGCGCTCCGCGCGAGCCCCGCCCCGCCGCCGCGGCTGGGGCCACTCCGCGGCGGCGGCGGCTGCGGGCGGTGCTGGCTGCCTGCGGACCGCCGCCCCTAGG